GATTGGATACAAAGACAGAATCCATCCTTCTGCTGCATACAAGAAACACACCTCAAATTCAAAGACAGACATTACCTCAGAGTAAAGGGTTGGGATAAGATACTCCAATCAAATGGACCCAAGAAACGGAGCTGGGTAGCTATTCTTGTATCTAACAAGATAAACTTCAAACTAAAATCAACCAAAAGAGATGAAGAAGGTCATTTCATATTCATCACAGGAAAAATCCATCAGGAAGAAGTCTCAATTCTAAACATCTATGCCCAAAATACAAAGGCACCAACACCAACATTCGTAAAAGAAACATTATTAAAACTCAAATCACAAATTAGGCCTCACACAGTTATAGTGGGAGACTTCAACATCCCACTCTCACCACTGGACAGGACCACATTCTCGGCAACATAGCAAACCTCAACAGGTACAAAAAAATTGGAATAATCCCCTGTGTCTTATCAAACCACCATGCTTTAAAAATAGAAATCAAAAACAAATAAAAGTGCAAAAAACCTACCAACTCATGGAAATTGAACAACACGCATTTGCAACATTCCTGGGTCAAGGAAGAAATAAAGAAAGAAATTAATGACTTCCTAGAATTCAATGAAAATGTTGACACAACATACCCAAACTTATGGGATACTTTGAAAGCAGTACTAAGAAGAAAGTTCATAGCTTGAAGTGCTCACATGAAGATACTAGATAATGTGACTCAAAATTTCCTCTGGGTATGTTTTATTTTAAGTCTCTAGTTGACTAAACACTTTACAAAAGGATTTAAGTGGGATATTAAGTAATGGTATAGAGACAGAATCTTAAACTCTAAAATTTTATATGGATGGTAAATCTGAGTTTAAATTTTGCCTCAATTTATTCACCCTGGAAGAAGCATGTTACTAGACACAGGCCATTTTCTATGAAGTAGTAAGTTTGACAATCTTAGTGTCTTGGGATACTTTTGGTACAGAAATTATAGTTTGGCTTCAGAACTTGTGAGATTGCTACCTCTGTTTCCAGAATCCCACTGTGAACAGGTTCCAGCTATTCTCAGCATAGCCATGGAGGTACCTGTGTAAATGGATTTGGGATGCCACTATGATTCTTTAGGATTCTGAACTCAGTTGACACCAGGATTATTATTGCTTTCAGTCTATATTATTGCATCTCTTTGAGACTGTTTCCAGAGCCAGAGTGGCCAGTGCACCAGGCTCCTTCCTTGAATCACAAAAGGCTTGACCACAAGACACCCATGCTGTCTACTCCTTTCTAACACTTTGCAAGTGATGAAAGTTCTTTAAACTAGGGGTGCTTGAATAAGGCATTAGGTTTTTCAGGTCTCTTAATAATTATCAGAAGTTCAACTGTGGATTGCTTGGTAGAAATGCAAATTGCCTGGAGCATCAATTGCTGATTGGGTTGCAAGCTGTCTGAAGTTGTAAAAGATTAATAAAGTCATCAAACAAACCTGACTAGGTGTGCTGTCACGGGGCATTGTCCAGAGCTCTGTACCACTCCCTAGTCTCATCTTACAAGGCAGAAGAATCTAAAAAAAACCAAAAAACAAAACAAACAAACAAAACCATTTGCTTTCTTAGCTCTGGCCCTCTCAGGATGCTTTTCATGGGGATTATCTTCTAGAAGGATGTTGGGAACTAGGCATCTTCATTTTCTAGCACCACTAATTGGAAAGATTTTGCTACTCTTCCACTACACCTTTCATTGAAGAGGGGGAAACAGCATTCTCATGAGAATGCATGTGGTGTTGGGATTTTATGAGGGTATCATAATCAGTGATATGGCTGTAATACTCAATAATTCTCTTGCACTGTGCACACCAGGCAGTAGCTGATGCTTAAAATCTTAGGACATTCTAACAGTAATTAGTAGCTTTCCAATTTGATAGATGAGAGACCTGAAACAGGTTCATGTAGAATGAGCAAGCTGATGTAGTCCACTGTTGACCAAGTTGGGGTATGCACCCTGCTGTTCCATTTGGATGTGGTGCCAAAGCCCTTCTACTTACAGATGCCCAAAAGTAAAGAGGATAGCAGAAGCATATTTCTACCTTTTAAGCACTAGTCAGGTGATAGGTGTTTTAATGATTTTTTGACATTATTACTTTTTGAGAATTATATTTAGAAAAAAAGGGCCAGTTCCACAAGTGGGACTTTGTTTGCATAAAAATGGCCCAGATAGGCTGGGTGTTGGTGGCGCACACCTTTAATCCCAGCATTTGGGAGGCAGAGGATCTCTGTGAGTTCGAGACCAGCCTGGTCTACAAGAGCTAGTTCCAGGCAGCCTCCAAAGCCACAGAGAAACCCTGTCTTGAAAAAAACAAAAACAAAAAAACAAACAAACAAACAAAAGGCCCAGATATCTCTTTTGTATATGTACATTTGAATGAAAAGGGGACAATAGGGATGCAGAGGACATGAGGGAGCAGAAAGTTTGAGTCAGGGGAAGAATAGGTGATAACAAGAATGGAGATATCATAATAGAGGGAGACATTTCTGGTTTACAGAGAAATCAGGCACTAGGGAAATGTCTGGAGATCTATAAAGATGGCACCAGCTAACAATCTAAGTAACAGAGGAGAGGCTACCTTAAATGCCCTCCCCTGATAGTGAGATTGATGACTGACTTATATGCCACCCTATAGCCTTCATCCAGCAGCTGGTGGAAGTAGAAGCAGACACCCACAACTAATCACTGAAATGAACTGGAACCCAGATGCAGAGAAGGATGAGTGACGAGCACAGAGGTCCAGACCAGACTGGTGAAACGCTGACCTGAACATCCAGGAACTCTTGCTCCCCAGACTGATAGCTGGAATACCAGCATGGGACTGATCTAGACCCCAGGAACATTGGTTTCTGTGTGGAAACCTCAGAAATCTACAGGACCTCCTGTAGAAGTTCAGTACTTATCCCTAGCATAGGTGTGGACTTTGGGAGCCCATTCCATATAGAGGAATACTCCCTGAGCCAAGACACAAGGGGGTAGGCCTAAGCCCTATCCCAAAGGATACAATAGACACTCATGACACCCTATGGAAGGCCTCACCATGCAGGGGGAGCAGAAAAGATATGTGATAGATAGGGTTTTAGTTGGGGGGGTGGCGGTAGGTGAGGAAGGGTGGGAGAAGGTAACTGGGATTGTCATGTAAAACAATCCTGTTTCTAATTCAAATAAAAAAGTTGGAAAAAAGATTATATAATTATGTAATTTTCCTCTTTTCTTTTCACCTCCCAACCCCTCCCTTTCTCTTTCAACTTCATGACCTCTTTTCTTTTGTTTTTATACACATACATACACACATATGTATGTATGTATACAAATGTATGCATGCATTCCTAAATATATAAAGACAATTTGCTTAGCCCATATAATGCTACTTGAATGAACACATTCAGGCTGTCCATTTTCTATTAGATAACCAGTTGGTATGCTCTTTTAGAAAACCACAACTGAACAAACACAGAGTTGTAGTGTCCAGCCCCAAATGACACATCTACAACACAATTTCTTCACCTAGGGCTCAGGGATCACTGTGCAACAGAGGATGAAAAGATTCTAAGATCCAGGGGACCAGGGAGTTTGCTGTGAGATTGTGTCTTCCAGGATTGTTAGAGGAACATCTTTATAAATGTCCTCAGTTGCAGGCCTGTACAATGTTGTAGGACTGAGATTTTAAAATCCAGTTGTTAGTAAGAAACACGCTTAATCATTGGTATAAGTACTGGATCTGTGATACACGACAAAAGCAACAGAGTATTGATTAAAGTAATGATCATTCTTTAATGCCCTCCTTTAAGGAAATTATCTTTCTAGTTGCAGAAAGCAACTTTGAACAAGTAACTGGACTTTTTTCAGTTTTTTTCTCCCCAGTAGCTGTGCTATTAACAAAGTCATCTGTTTGCCTTGCTTCCTATTGAGTGATATTTGCTAGGTCTGTTCCTTGGCTGTATCTTGGACTTCACAGCCCCATTAGTTCATGATGTTCTATCTTCTCAAATGTGGCTATTATCAGGGTCTTATTGAGATCCAAGCCAGTTTTTATTCCTCCACATTGATTTGTTACGTGCAGGCTCCTCAGAGTACCCTAATTCCCATGAAGCAACTCAATTTCCTGTAGGAATGGCTCAAACCTTGGTTACCATGACTTCTGTGATCTTGGGCATTTCTTTCTTCCTTTTCTCCCCTCCTCTCTCTAAGTGTGATAGCTTTTGGTACTTACATAGTCTTGTAGTAAATTATATTTATGTAACATGTGCTTCCTTGAGGCAAGACAGCAACAGATGAGCCTTCCTGATTTTTTTCTCTCCAGCATCTTTTCATATATTCCCCCTTACATCCTTCAAAGAAAAACTTGGATGCCTTTCCTGCATTTTCTTTTGTCCACACATGTGTCAGAGAGCCATTCAGTCTCTACCTCTTCAATGTTGGGTACTTTTGGTCCAGGGAACCCATTACAGTCCTGCATTCCTTGCTAGGGATTATTTTAAGCACTTACACATAATATTGGGAAGAGCCTGCTGAGAAGGTTTTTCATTACTGGGAACTACTCCTTCTCCTTTTAGGTGTTCCTATGTGTTGATTTTTGTGCTGTGTCTACTGAAGGCATATTTGGCTGTGTTAAACCTTAGCACCAATCTGGTGAATTCAAAAAGGAGAGTGGTGAGGTGGCTTGAACAGCTTTCTGGTGGCAGATTCAGCAGCTACTGAACCCAACTTATAATATTGAGCTTCTGGAATCTTATTTAAAGTATTCATCCTTGCGCTTTGAACCCCCACTGAATTGTGTTTCCATTTCTTGCTGGAAAGCCTGGCTGAGTGTGTGCCTGCCCTGTATCAGTTAGAAGAATCACACAAGTTTTTTTAAACTCTTGTTTTCTTGCCAAGTATATTGGGGAGATTAAATAGCACAGTAAAATGAACATTTATTGAGCCTATTATTTTCAGCCTTTTGCTAAATGCTTCATATTTAGAAGCCCCCATTACTGCTGACATCTAGTCTGTGAGAAACGTTGGTTTTTCACCTAATCCTGACTTTGAAATGTGTTTGGTGTCAAGGAGAAAAAAAATCATGTGATAGGATCCTCATTTTGAGAAGAATGTTGGTAGCAAAAGCTTCTGTAATTCCATTTGGCTTGTGATAAGGCATAGGGGAGTACTATTTTTAATTATCTGACCAGGCTGACAGAGTATGAAATGATGGTGATTGAAGAATAAGGTTGCAAAGTGTAGATGATCAACCTTGAAGGGCCTGAAAAATATGCAAATTAGATATGACCTGATGGAAGTTAAGCTAGGAAACCATGAGGGTTTTCCCCCATTTTTTTGCCAAGGAGAAGAAAAAGACCAAACATCCATGCCTTAATTAGAAAGCTGTTGCAGCGAAAACTGGAGAGGAAAGTCTAAATTAAAACTGCAATCAATTCCCACATATTCAAATATTATTTTTCTTTTTTTTTCCTTTCCCCCTTTTCTCCTTAAAAACTCACTGCTACAAAAACCACCTGCTGATGTTGCTTGCTGTCTGCCTTAGCCTGATCCAGAGGCAGCCTGCCCCCATCTGGGGTTATAAATCTCCTTTGTGCTAAGATTTTGGTGTCTGGGAGGTGAGTGTCCTGTAATAACTCAGAGGGGCCACCCTTCCTTTATACCTGTGGTGTGGCCTGTGGTGTTCTCCTTCCTGACTTAGGCGGAGGCTGTTTTAGAAGTTATCCTTATATACTGTGTAGTGTCTTACAGTATTATACAAGAGTACACATTCAAATATTAAAAGGCAGAAAGATCCAATAAAAATACATTGTCTATCTTACAATAATGATTTTATGTATGCATGTGTGCTGGCATATACATGCCTTAGTGCTCATTTAGAGGTCAGACTCAACTTTGGGGAATTAGCTCTCCATTTTGTAAGTGGGTTAGTGGCAAGTCCTTTGACCCACTTGGCCACCTAGCCATCCCTGTTGTGTGCTTTGTGATAAAGACTGACAAAGTTCACAGAACTTCTGAAGACCTTTTGGTATTTAGTGACTTGTGGTTCATAGAGATGGCCAATTTATGTCAACCCCTATTTTAATGTTTGTTGCTTTTTGAAAAATAGGCTTATAATACAAAAATCTCAACACAGATATTATGTCCATTGTCCATTAAATAAGTCATCAAAGTAGAAACAATCCCAGTATCTATGCTGTGGGCTAGTTCAGGTATGTTGACATGGAGTGTTCTACATATCTTCCAATTTGATGAACTTGCAGGTGAGTTACAGAACATCTTCATACTTTTATATAGAGAAATTTTTGTTCAGATGGTATATCTATTTAATTTATCTCACTGCAAATACTCTTTTTTTCATATCAGAAAAGAAAACGCAGCCACATATTTTAGGTGACATTTTCTCCAACTTTAGAAAGTTGAATTGGTCAGAAAAAAATGCCCAGCAAAAGGCTATCTGTGTCAGATAACAACAGAGCAGTTTAAAAGAACAAGCTGCACCAAATGATAGACTGAACAAAAGAAAGAAACAAGAAAGGGATAATGACATGCCACAGAACAGAGGGGACTGGGCCTGAGGCTAGGTACCTCGTTATGAGTGCAGTTGCAACACCTCCAGTGAGTACAAGGTCAAAGCAAGAATTGTCACTTAGGGCCTCAATTTCAGGAAACAAATCATATGTGGCCCAGGTGTTGTCACGAAAGGTTGTTTCCTGCTCTCATTTCTTTTAAATTGTTTTCTTTGATTGATTGTCAAGAGTGTACCAAACAAGAATAAACCAAGCAAAAGCTCTTACAATATCTTTAGATGTGAATCTACATACATCCAGTATCTTCAATAGTTTAATCAAAAACTGAAGACCTGTAAAACTGACAATGACCATTTCTTCATGAAATGCACTTGCTGGTGTAAGCAATTTAAAAAATAAGACAGTAATTGAGATTGGACATTTCCTCTCCTTTTTTTCCTTTTGTCTTTTCTGGTTAAATGTTAGATCATTTGCAAAGATGAATTCATAAAATTTCCAAGATCTGCTTTGAAGCTAGAAACCCTAACAATGAACTCCGAATATAGCCAGAATGTGTTAATACTTGAAATTGTAGATCAGCTTTTGGTGATATGTGAGCTCCTTTAAATGGATGTACTAATGATAAAACCTTCAAATTTGTGTTACAAATTAGCCAGAACAGGCTAACACTTAACAAACAAACAAAAACACTGTAGTGCTGGAGTAGCTTGTACCCGCATTAAATAATGTTTGTATCTGCAGAGCGACTGGACACACACTCATTGGACTATCTTTTCTCTAAGCAGTGACTGGGAGAATCTGACTTCCCCACCAGTGGCTCTGTACTCTGTGATCCTCAGAGACAAAATGTTATAGAAAATTCTGTGTGAGCACTCTACAGGCCAGACCTACCAGGAACTCATTGCTCTTACAACTCATTCACCACAACTCAGTCACATGCTTCAATCTAAGTCTAAGGAAACCTGAAATGTAATCAGGATATGCCAAATAGAAAGAAATGGTTTACAGAACAAATAATTAGTGTGCTTCTGAGAACTAAGCTAAGTAATCACAGAACAAAAGCTTGCTTATCTTCTATGGTAGGCCATAATTCCCCTTAAGATTTATTTCTCCCTTCTCTCTGAAAGATCAGCTATTTTTTCCAATTCCACATAAATTGGTATATCCAATAGTAGAAGGACTTTGCTTTGGACAGCGAGATGCAAATTTTGCCACTTCTGGCAGAAGCTTAAAGAGCTATCGAGGTTTTTGCCCTCACGCTTTTCTCTGGGCTATGAGAACAACTTGTCCCAAACAGTCTGGTCCTTTAACTTGTGTCCTTGAATAAGACCCACAGAGCAGAGCCAAGGAGGACTGAGTAGATAGGGTTCAACTTGAGGCAGTGACAGCTAAACATCTTCCATCATGTAACAAGAGCAAGAAGTTGATGCAATTTATAGATGGTTTGGGGCTATTTCTTACATGCATCAACAGATTGATTAAAGTCTTCATTTTGGAATAGGAGTAGTTTAACTGAGATTGTTGGATCAGAAGTGATGAGTGAGAAATATATAGAATCTTTATGTCTTGGAACAAAGTAAAAAATGACAATTAGTATGATTTGAAATATTTAAATTTCAAATTTCAAAATTCAAATTGACACTCCACAGTGTCAATACTTAGGAATCCTAGTCCTATTGCTTTTCTTCTATTCCTAATGATTATATTTCTATCAGTAACATCACTAAATTGTTAAAAAAGAAACATACTGCTGTTATGTACTAGCAGAGAAGAGCAGATGGGCTGAGAGAAGGGAATGATTAGAGTCAGCTTTCCAACTTAGCATTTATTGAAAATGATGTAAGATTTTGATAAGTTGGTATCTGACACCAACATTTTGAGTAAATAGACCCCAAAGAAGTTATATTTAGAAATCTTGCTTTCGTCTCTTTCCTTTATGTAGGCATGGGTATGTAAGCACCATGATACAAATGTGGAGGTCAGAGGATAACTTGAGGAATTTGGTTTTCTTTCTTGTGGAAGATGTGTTCTTTCTACCATGTGCATCCTAGGGATTGAATTCAGGTCATGAAGCTTGATGACAAGCACCTTTACCTGACAAGTAATTGAGGATGACATATAGAGCCACACATGGCCACATACTACCAGTCAACATGTGTGAGTATTGAAGACAACTGCATGGAAATGACCCATGTACAATTGATTTGACCAATGGTTAAAAAGGCTATATAGAATACCCAAAGAGTACCTAATTAAAAGTTTCCCTAATCGGCATTGTTAACACACTTCTAAAGATGTTTTATCTGTTTAAAATGTATGGAAGTATGAAAAATACACTGGCTATAGTTTATGTAAGAATCATTTCTAGTAAATTGACATTTTCCTAGTGAAGGATTAATGACCTAAAAGCCTCAGTTGAACTAAGAAGTTCTGTATGAGAAATTTGACTTAACTGATTTCATATGTTTCTGATAAGCACATTGGCATCCCTCTTTAGGTAGGATCTATCACTTTGAGGCTGCAGGGGAACTGATTTGCTGGTAGAATCATCTAAAAGACTTCTTTCTATCCTATAAAATCTCAAAGCACATCCACTCTCACATACCATGTGTGTACAATTTATATTTCCAAGGAGAAATCAGTTTATCTGATTAAAACAGCAATGAATGCTTCTTAGAACTCAGGGTAGCATTCATTGTCTAGGGAAAGTTTTGCAAATAGTGGGTACATCTACTTGAATTAAATATCAAGGTAGTCTCTGATGGCATGACCAGAAGCCTATCTCCTATGCGATTCTATATTGTGTTATGTTTTCAATTAACGCTTTCCATCACATTAGATTCTGAAGTAAGAAACAGGATTCTTTTAGTGCTTGATTTAAGTCCAACTGTAAGGGACTTAAATCATGAGTCAAAATTGCTGTTTGCATTGCTATGTTTATTGGAGTCTGGTCAGGTTTTATTTTGGTTTAATATAGAGGCTTTAGCTCAATGGCTCAGTACTTGTCTCACCTCTGTCTTCTTTAAGTACAGGTAGGTATCCTTCTGCTTACAGTGTAACTCCAGTCAAAATAAGGATATGTTCTTCTTGGGAATTTTGAGCAATCAATGCTTGTGCATTCCCACACTACCGAAAAGAAATTATTGAACTTTTATTACTTCCCTTTGCACCTGTCCATGCCTGTGAAATGTAATGAAAAAAATCTCAACCACTGTAGCATAATCTACCTTACTTGGTCCTGAATTATTCATTTGGATGAGGGGTTATCATCTCAGTTTCTGTTTAATTTTTCAGCTATAGGCTTTCTCTGTACTAATAGTTCCATGTTTCCAGAGTAAAATATGTGGACCTGATTGGATGATGTCCAGCATTACCCCCTCAATTCCAGAGCTGTGCATATTGCCACTGGCCCACATTCCTAGTGCTAACCTGAATTTCATCATCTGAGATTTAGGGCACATTTAGGATGGTTTGGGATGCTTGGGTGACTGAGTGAGTAGCCTTCTTCTAATTCATGCTCTGTTGGCCCACAGACCTCTGACAGCCAAGTCTGCTCTGTTTAATTTGCCACATTGCTTGCACCAAGAAGTTTACCTTTTAAGAAACTGCAGTGGAAAACTTCCAGGACATCTGCCATTCTAATTTATACTTTAGAGGATAAGGCTGCTTAGAAAGGCCATGGAAATGACCAAATTTATTCCCATTTATTCAATTTTAATATCTCTTTCAGGAAAGTAGGCTAGTTGCTAAGAATTTTGAGGATTCACCCTCTTTCACAGAGCTTTAAGTGCTGCCCTTAAAATCAGCAACTTGAAAGGAGCACTTCAAAAGAGTCTGCAATATCTCTTAAACCTTTTTTTTTTAACCTAGCAAAGTAAGTCAAAGAATTGCGAAGATGCTGTTCTGTTCTGAAGGCTTGGTCTTCCCTGCATTTCAGGAGCCATTACAGAGAAAGATGGGAAGCCTTCCACTGGTTCTTGAACTTTTCCTAATCCATCCTATGCTGTTTAAGATGACAGCCATCTTTCTGCTAAAAGCAAGTGACTATTTCTTACCCTCCTTTGTATGTTGTGAGGCTTACTTTCCAAGCCCATAAAACTGGAATAAGTTAGTCCCTGTAGAACATAGAATTAATATCATTAGGCCAATTATCTCTTAATAAATGTAATGAAGAAGCAATTGAAAAAAGTATTAAATATAACTACCTTCCTAAACTTACCAGTAGATCCTGAAGAGTTAATTATTTCGCAGAGAGGGAAGAAAATAAATTTATTTGTTGACAGTGACTGCTACAAATCCCTTGACAGGAGTTTTCACAAGAACATTCATGTGTTACTTGCACAACAATACTATAATATATGTGGAATTATTCCTATGTCTATGGAACATAATGGAATTTCAAATGAGATTATGAAACTCAGTGCCAATATATTAAAAAATGATTATAAGTATGCATATTGAACTCTGAAGCTGATCTTTCTTCCTCATGTTCAGTGGTAATCTGGAGTTTTATTTTGTGAAATCCTTTGTCAACCATTGTAATAACATTTATTGAATATTTACACTGAATCAGGCTTTATGCCAAGCATTCGACATAACTATTTTATTTGATTTTCATAACAAACAAAATTTGTTCCTGAGATGAAGATATAGAATCCCAGTAAGAGGCACAGTCTCTATCTTTTATTTATTCCATGCTCAGAGATTATTAAAAAATAAAATATGAATCTGATCATGCCTTTGTCTTGAGGAAAATATTTATTTCAGGGGCTTTTTCCCTCCCACAGAGCTCTGCATCTCTGGAGTGCACAATTTCCCAATCTGCCTGGCAGCTCACAATGCTGGACCTACTAAATAATCTTACTTTAACATGGGGCGCCTTCATTGAGTTCTTCCATTTTTCCACTCTATTGTCCCCATGACCATGCTACTTCCTATTCCATTCTCAGTTGCTATAATATTTTATGGAAATATTCATAAACCAACATAGTACGAGGGGCATGTGCTTGCATTTTGTAGGATTCTCTGCATTGAGTAATGCTTTATTGTCGTGATATTCTTGATTACTGTAAGATCTATGAGGACAGCTACTGGGGTTCTCATCTCCAGTGCCAAGTGCTTCCCACAACATTTAGTCATAGTATTTATTCTGTTCATTGAACAAATGCATGACTAGACTGAAAGACCAGACTGAAAACAAAGTTTTTTATGTCTCAATAGCTTTTTCAAAAAAAGATACAGTAATAGACAAAACATCAACACAGCAGGATGGTGTAAAAACATTTACATACTTAGTATCTTTTCCTAAATTTAGTGATTTTATTCATTTAAGTCACAAAATTGAGGCCATCTGTGTCTTAGTAGGGAAGAATGGAAGATTCTTTAGAGAAAGTACATATTATGATATTATAATTTTGTTTTTCATGCTTTGTGGCCTAAAATCATGTGTGATAAAGGAAAGGTGGGGAGATAGATAGATTGATAAGGTAAAGTTGGAGGAAGACCTGAAATGAAATTTTGTCCTTAAATATGAGTGAACTTTTGGATGTTCATCTCTACACCGTTAGGAAAGATGATTGTTGTCTGTAGGTTATGAGAATCTGGAGAGATTCTCCAGAAGAGGAACATGTGCAGTTTTTGTCAATTGCCTAGGAAACTAAAATCTGGTAGAAAATGGCATGTGCCATTGCAGGTGGAGAGATTAGTGTAGGGATGATTGGTTGGGGTGACTGTACAAATGAGGCCTGGAAGGGAGTTCCTTGTTGTGGGCAAAGAGCCCTTTCCCCTACATGTCCCAGAGAGTCTGCGATGTAATGCTGAGAGGTGGTCCGAAGAAACATCACAGGCATGATACAAGGAAGCAAGCCCAGATGGAAACATCTTGTGCAAGTTGGGTTTGGCTGACAGACAGAATTCTAGCTTACACAATAGCAATTTAGATGGGCATTGTTTTGAAGGACCATTCTGCGATGGGAAGGAGGTTGAGGGGGCAAATGGCAGTCCCCCTCGGAGACAAAAAAAACAGTGAATATAGTACCCATTCTGCCTCAGTTATTCCTGGAACAGCAAACCAGAGACATTCTGAAGTGCAGGTATCTGCAACCTAGGCAACAACACAGCGAGCATCTTCTGGAATTGACTGGGGAAACTTGTTTTCTCTGGTAAAATGAAAACTAGAGAAAGAAATTAAGCTTATTATAGAAATACACAGTTTGCACCCTGGATTTGTGTATGTATGAAATTGTACCTTTGATTATTATTTTGTATTTTTCTTCTTCACATGTATCCTATGAAGATGAGATAGAATGCATTGTGTGAAATCAATAGCTAACACATACTCTGTTCCCTTGTAAATCCCAAGGGAATACTACTTTACATTTTGTTCACAGACTCAGTAAGTCCAGGGTAGGAATTACTTTCTTTCATTTTGCCAATAAGACAATAGGAGCTGCATAATTTATTGGATGCACATAATTCAGACTTCAAAAGTAAATTGCCCACAGAAAAGGAGAAATACCACTTTTATCATTTTTCCATGTAACTTGGTATTATTGCATTGAAGATAAACTGCCTCAAATTCCAATTTACTATACCAGAATACTCTAATATAAGCAAGATCTGTCAGGTAGCCAGATTTAGCCTTTTCATTACTTTGAATCACTGGTAAATACAGAAATTTTCTCCTACAGTAGTGTTTTCAGTTCACATTCTGTTTGAAACTGTAACTGACCTCTAGATTCAATTTTCCCATTTGGAGTGTTTTACTTCTTAAATGTTTCCTCAAAACGTGAATGACCTTTTGTGAGCCAAGTGTGAAATTCTGACGTTTTGTTGAATGTTCTTTAAATGACTCTCTGCTTCAAGGAGTTAGATGCTATTGTAGGTTGTTTAGCAAAGTAGTTACATTGTTTTTCTTGTCAGATCATAATACTTGATTACCTACTTTATATAATGAACACATAATCTTAAAAATAATTCTGCCCGACTTCCTAGATTCTAATGAAAATGCAGACACAACATACCCAAATTTATGGGACACTCTGAAAGCAGTCCTAAGAGGGAAGTTCATAGCACTAAGTGCCCACATGAAGAAACTAGAAAAAAGTCACATTAGAGAACTGACAGAACAACTGAAAACACCAGAGCAAAAAGAAGCAAACTCACCAAGGAGGAGTAGACGCCAGGAAATAATCAACCTGAGAGCTGAAATCAATAAAGTAGAAACTAGGAAAACATTACAAAGAATCAATGAAACAAAGAGTTGGTTCTTTGAGAAGATCAACAAGATAGACAAACCTCTAGCCAAACTAACCAAAAGGCAGAGAGAGAGCACACTAATTAACAAAATCAGAAACGAAAAGGGGGATATAACAACGGACACTGTGGAAATCCAGAGAATCTTTAGGTCATACTTTGAAAATCTGTACTCCACAAAATTCGAAAATCTAATGGAAATGGACAGTTTCCTGGATAAATATCACTTACCAAAATTAAATCAAGATCAGATAAACAATTGAAATCGACCCATAACCTCTAATGAAATAGAAGCAGTCATCAAAAACCTCCCAACCAAAAAAAGCCCAGGGCCAGATGGCTTCACTGCAGAATTCTACCAGAAATTCAAACAAGAGCTGATACCAATACTCCCCAAACTGTTCCGCACAATAGAAGCAGATGGGATATTGCCAAACTCCTTCTATGAGGCTACAATCACTTTGATACCCAAGCCACACAAAGATAAGAATAAGAAAGAGAACTACAGACCAATATCTCTCATGAACATTGATGCTAAAATACTCAATAAAATATTGGCTAATCGAATCCAAGAACATATCAGAAAAATCATCCACCACGATCAAGTGGGCTTCATCCCAGGGATGCAAGGATGGTTCAATATACGAAAAACCATCAATGTAATCCACCATATAAACAAACTGAAAAAGAAAAACCACATGATCATCTCACTAGATGCTGAAAAGGCCTTTGACAAAATCCAACATCCCTTCATGATAAAGATCTTGGAGAGAACAGGAATAACAGGAACATATCTAAACATGATAAATGCGATATACACCAAACCAATAGCCAACATCAAACTAAATGGAGAGAAACTCAAAGCATTTCCTCTAAAATCAGGAACAAGACAAGGATGTCCACTCTCTCCATATCTCTTCAATATTGTTCTTGAAGTTCTAGCTAGAGCAATAAGACAAGATCAGGATATCAAAGGGATACAAATTGGAAAGGACGAAGTCAAACTTTCACTATTTGCAGATGACATGATAGTCTACATAAGTGACCCGAAAAACTCTACCAGGAAACTCCTACAGCTGATAAACACCTTCAGCAAGGTAGCAGGATACAAAATTAACTTAAATAAATCTGTAGCCCTACTGTATACAGATGATAAACTCAATGAGAAAGAAATCATGGAAACATCACCTTTCACAATATCCACAAGCAACATTAAATATCTGGGGGTAACACTAACCAAAAAAGTGAAAGACCTGTACAATAAGAACTTTGAGACTTTAAAGAAAGAAATTAAAGAAGATACCAGAAAGTGGAAAGATCTCCCGTGCTCTTGGATAGGCAGAATTAACATAGTAAAAATGGCAATTCTACCAAAAGCAATCTACAGATTTAATGCAATCCCCATCAAAATCCCAACACAGTTTTTCACAGACATTGAAAGAACAATACTCAACTTTATATGGAAAAATAAAAAACCTAGGATAGCCAAAACAACTCTTTACAATAAAAGATCCTCTGGAGGCATCACCATCCCTGACTTCAAGGTCTACTATAGAGCCATAGTTCTGAAAACAGCTTGGTATTGGCACAAGAATAGACAGATAGACCAATGGAATCGAATTGAAGACCCAGATATTAACCCACGCACCTACGAACACCTTATTTTTGACAAAGGTGCTAAATCCATACAATGGAAAAAAGATAGCATCTTCAACAAATGGTGCTGGCACAATTGGATTCGAACATGCAGAAAATTGCAGATAGATCCATACTTGTCACCATGCACGAAACTTAAGTGCAAATGGATCAAAGATCTCTCCATAAACCCAGCCACACTGAATCTTTTAGAAGAGAAAGTGGGAACAACCCTTGAACAAATTGGCACAGGAGAACGATTCCTGAACATCACGCCAGAAGCACAGACACTGAGGTCTGCAATTAATAAATGGGACCTCTTGAAACTGAGAAGCTTCTGTAAGGCAAAGGACACAGTCAGTAAGACAAAACGACCACCCACAGAATGGGAAAAAATCTTCACCAGCCCCACATCTGACAGAGGACTGATTTCCAAAATATACAAGGAGCTCAAGAAGCTAGCCACCAAAACACCATACAATGAAATTAAAAAGTGGGGTGCAGAACTAAACAGAGATTTTTCAACAGAGGAATCTGAAATGGCTGAAAGACACTTAAGAAAGTGCTCAAAATCCTTGGCCATCAGAGAAATGCAACTCAAAACAACTCTGAGATACCACCTCACACCTGTCAGAATGGCTAAAATCAAAAATACCAATGACAACCTATGCTGGAGAGGTTGTGGAGAAGAAGGAACACTCCTCCATTGCTGGTGGGAGTGTGAACTTGTAAGACCACTTTGGAAATCAGTATGGCGGTTGCTCAGAAAAATGGGAATCAATCTACCTCAAGATCCAGCCATTCCTCTCTTGGGTATATACCCAAATACTGCTTGTCCATACAACAAGG